AAGTTTTTTTTGTTTTTTTTTAGCGCAGTGACTTTGTCTTGACATACTAAAATGTAGTGTTGCTAGCACTGTAATCAGTCTAGCTGATTTGCAGTTTGACATTATCTGGTTAATTCCAGGTGTTCTGCTATTGGTTGCATATACCTGTGAGTAGCGTGTGACCCTGCTACAGAGTGGGGCAGCCAATAGAGAAACATTAGGAGTGTCTATGCCTCACCAGCCAATCACTAGGAGTTTCATGGCCAGTGGTACATGCTGGGAGAGTGCATATATACTCATGGATAGCGATGTGCTCAGGGCTTTTTTGATCGCATGCCCCTTCCCTGGCTAAGGATCTAGCCCTGAAAGTAAATGTCAACCCTCCAATCCTTTTTGGGGTTCCACCTTAGACCTTAGTTGTAGACAAAGAAAGATGAGCATGTGACCAGAATCAACCTGCAGGGTTCTTACTAAGGGACAGGAAGTGGGAGGGGAGAGAAGAGCAACAGGAGGGAACACAGCAGACTTTCTGAAGGGATTGAAATAGTAAGACTTTATTTTAAAACATAAATAAATGTGACTTTGGAGAATGTTCATTGTGTAGATGTGTATAAGGAGAAGAAAAAAAAGCTGTTTTGTGTTGCTTTAACCCCTTAAAGCAACACAAAACAGGGATTTATCCAGGCTATAAAATAGCTTTTCATTTTTCTTCTCAGCAAAAATAAAACTTAAAAATGCAAATGTTTATTTACTTGTTTTACCTTGTAGGTTTATAATGGTAAATAATGCATAAATATGGAGCATTAAAGGCTAATTTGGTTAAAGCTTGAGCTCATTTGTTTTGATAACCTAACAGTGACAAGTTAAATTCCTATACTGAATATTTATGCACATGACTGCTTGAGGGGTTTGCTGTAAAATCCCTGGTGGTTAATCTTAAACCTAAATATGGGTCTGGGCAACAAAATGTTTTTCTTATGAGGTCTGATTAGAACTCATTGAGGGGAATTTATCAAAACTGGAGCAGATAAAATCTGGAGCAGCTGTGCATGGCAACCAATCAGCTTCTCTCTTTCTTTCATTTTCAAATCTTAACTGAACAATCTGAAGAAAGAAGCTGATGGGTTGCCATGGGCAACTGCTGCAGATTTCATGTGCTCCTGTTTTGATTCCCCCCATTGTATTAAAGCATGATTTTGAAAACCTGCATTTGCAATAGCTGTCAGGTATTGGTCTTGAAGCCTAAACTCGCATATAAGCCAAAAAAGCATATTAAATATAAATAAGTCACTTGTTAAAGCTGAACTTGCAAGATCAACAAATATTGTCTAAATACCAGAGCCATGTGAGGGCTCTGGTATTTAGTCATAAAGACCCCTCACTGCTGCTTTCTCTTTATGCATCGTGAGTGGTCTTGTCTCCGCCCCTCCTGTAGTTTTCTGTAGAGGGTGGACCTGTTGGGTCCCTCATACAGCTCTGCTTTCTGTGTAGATTATGCGTCATTGCTGCTTTTACAAGGTAAATGAGTTTGTAAAGGCAGGTGGCGCACAGCAGTAAATTTATATAATTTGAGGTTATTAAGAAATGTATTTAAAGCAACATTTTTGTGCTCAGAGTTCATCTTTAGGCTCGGGAGTCACCCAACTTTCAGGGTTCTCTCCTTACCTATTGACTGTTAAAGTGTTGTGCATTCTTGAGACTTGCATAATCTGGCCTCAAAATGATGGAACCTGTGCCTATATCATGCACTACTGCTGCCAAACAAATCCCATTTTCTGTGAGGATAGGATACCCCTTACTGTGAGGATAGGAGGCTGGTAGTGTGTGTGTGGTCCTGCGGGTGCCTGGACTGCTCTACAATGTGATCATTTTTTAGCTGGATACTCACACCCCTTCTAAGCCCTTCCTCGCTCGCTTTGCACCTCCCTTACCTCCTATTTCTCCCACCATGATCCAGCAGACTCCTCTTATATGCTCAATGTCTACACTGCTATTAAAGTGACATTAAACCCTCAGATTTTTGAACATAAAACAATAGTGTAATGTGCGCCTTACTGTAATCCATGGTAGTTTCCCTTCTCTTTGCTGCTCTTCCTTTTAAATCTGTATCTGTTATAATGCTCTGCAGAACTTCTGTTTTGCAGCAGACTGCCTTGTCTCAGGAATGGATACATGGTGTCTGTGTATAGGTTTGTATAGGCTTGTAATCTGAGCCAGCACTACAGGAAGAGGCCCTGAGCTGAAAAGGGAAGTTCTCCCCATGCATTTCTGGGCAACAAAATGTTTTTCTTATGAGGTCTGATTAGAACTCATTGAGGGGAATTTATCAAAACTGGAGCAGATAAAATCTGGAGCAGCTGTGCATGGCAACCAATCAGCTTCTCTCTTTCTTTCATTTTCAAATCTTAACTGAACAATCTGAAGAAAGAAGCTGATGGGTTGCCATGGGCAACTGCTGCAGATTTCATGTGCTCCTGTTTTGATTCCCCCCATTGTATTAAAGCATGATTTTGAAAACCTGCATTTGCAATAGCTGTCAGGTATTGGTCTTGAAGCCTAAACTCGCATATAAGCCAAAAAAGCATATTAAATATAAATAAGTCACTTGTTAAAGCTGAACTTGCAAGATCAACAAATATTGTCTAAATACCAGAGCCATGTGAGGGCTCTGGTATTTAGTCATAAAGACCCCTCACTGCTGCTTTCTCTTTATGCATCGTGAGTGGTCTTGTCTCCGCCCCTCCTGTAGTTTTCTGTAGAGGGTGGACCTGTTGGGTCCCTCATACAGCTCTGCTTTCTGTGTAGATTATGCGTCATTGCTGCTTTTACAAGGTAAATGAGTTTGTAAAGGCAGGTGGCGCACAGCAGTAAATTTATATAATTTGAGGTTATTAAGAAATGTATTTAAAGCAACATTTTTGTGCTCAGAGTTCATCTTTAGGCTCGGGAGTCACCCAACTTTCAGGGTTCTCTCCTTACCTATTGACTGTTAAAGTGTTGTGCATTCTTGAGACTTGCATAATCTGGCCTCAAAATGATGGAACCTGTGCCTATATCATGCACTACTGCTGCCAAACAAATCCCATTTTCTGTGAGGATAGGATACCCCTTACTGTGAGGATAGGAGGCTGGTAGTGTGTGTGTGGTCCTGCGGGTGCCTGGACTGCTCTACAATGTGATCATTTTTTAGCTGGATACTCACACCCCTTCTAAGCCCTTCCTCGCTCGCTTTGCACCTCCCTTACCTCCTATTTCTCCCACCATGATCCAGCAGACTCCTCTTATATGCTCAATGTCTACACTGCTATTAAAGTGACATTAAACCCTCAGATTTTTGAACATAAAACAATAGTGTAATGTGCGCCTTACTGTAATCCATGGTAGTTTCCCTTCTCTTTGCTGCTCTTCCTTTTAAATCTGTATCTGTTATAATGCTCTGCAGAACTTCTGTTTTGCAGCAGACTGCCTTGTCTCAGGAATGGATACATGGTGTCTGTGTATAGGTTTGTATAGGCTTGTAATCTGAGCCAGCACTACAGGAAGAGGCCCTGAGCTGAAAAGGGAAGTTCTCCCCATGCATGAGAAGACATGAGGATTTAAAAGGAAGAACAGCAAAGAGAAGGGAAACAACCATGGATTACAGTAAGGCACACATTACAGTATTGGTTTATGTTAAAAAATCTGAGGGTTTAATGTCACTTTAAGTACATGGTTTCTTTTAAAGACACTCTGCCACAGCCGCTTCATCTCCTGGAACCTAAATGGGGGATGGAGAGCCAAAAAAAAGTGGATCACTCTGTGTCAAAGGCCCAGTTGATGAAGTGTCATGTTCTAAGTAGTCATTTTCTAAGAGCAGTAAATTGGTACTTGGTTATTATAAGGGGCTAGGACTGTAGATATCAAGCTCTTTAGTTCCGCTCAGCAAATGATGAAGACATCATCCAACGCACAGCCTTGGGCAGCTGACTCATTGTCATGGGAAAGGTATGTAACACTAGCATTAGAGGTCAGCAATGACTCCTGCATTTTTGTCTTATGACAGTTGCTTGGTCATAATGCGATAGCTTTACAAAAGACTATATTAAAAAAGGCAGATTATTCTACCATCATGTAGGTCAGCGTTTCTCAACCTTTTTCCAGCCATGGCAACCTTTAAAAATATTCACAATCTCGAGGCACCCCAGTCTAAAATGTTATCAAACGTGAATGTAAAAAACTATGCATGGTCCCTCCAAAATACATAACAGAACATCATCTGAGATAGGGATCTGGTATCGATTTTAAGGGGCAAAAACACAAAAAATTGGGGTCCCCTTTTACATTAGGGTCACCCTTCTCATCAGAGCCCCCTTTCACATCAGAGTCCTCCTTCAAATCAAGAGCCCCCTCCTTTCATATTAGAATCTTCCTCTTTGACATTACAGTGCCCCTTTACTTCAAGAGCCCCCTCCTTTCATACCAGAATCTTTCTCTTTGACATCACAGTCCCCCTTTACATCAAGAGCCTCCTTCTATCATACCAGAAACCTTCTCTTTGACATCAGAGTCCCCCACTTTCACATCAGGAGCCCTGCACGTTCACATCAGAGGCATGAAGCTGTGTGAAAATTCAAGGCAGCCCTGAGGAAGCCAGGAGGCACCCCGGGCTGCCACGGCACCCTGGTTGAGAAAGGCCAATGTAGGCGACCCATCCAATAAAAAAGGTACCTAGAAGTTTGAGAAACATTAACATGATCATGTAAATAAAAAAAGCAAATATTTTGCCAGAAACAACCCATTTTCTTCTGATGGTCTTCTGTTGCGGTTCTGAACAGGAAATACACCAATTTCTATATTGTTGAGAATACACTTTTAATGGCTTCTCTCAGAAATGACGACAGATGAAAGAAACTTGGAAGGCTGAATTAGTCAGTAGGTCTGAAATCTTACATAGCTTAGTGTCTATTGACATAAATCTTGACATGACACGAATCTTCAACCATGAAAGTAAAAAGGATGTGGAATACGGAAGTAACGAACCCTCTGCTGCTTCATTATACAGTTTTTAAAATTGTGATATCAAATAAATGTCATCTAGAGCTTAGTGCCAAACACAGATTCTTTTTCTTTGGTTTTACAGGTAGCATTCTTGCCTCTAAAGAGAAATAAAAGCAGATATAACATACGTTTAATGGAGATGTATAGGCATGGCATGAAAACTACTTTTACTTGATTGGTAATAAAGTCTATGAAGCTGTGTGTGTTTTTCTCAGCATTGTCTCTAAAATCCCTGTGTTATTTGCTGCCTGAGGTGATTTCCTTCCGGTTACTGCGAAGGTCACTGGTGCACTTGTTGAGAAGGAGGGGGTCTGTGACAGGGGCAGCAGCAGATGCAGGACCGTGTTGTGTAAACCCATGCATGAGTGTGAGCGTACAGCCCTGGACACAGCTAGTCTGCATTCAAGGGCATACGGCTTTACACATGTTTAGGTTTAAAGGAGAACTATGAGGTGAGTGAAAAGTTTTCACTCGCCTCATAGTTCTAGCCGACCTGTGACAATGAGACTGTCACAGGTCGGCTCAGTAGATCGGGAGGTGAGCGAACATATACCGGCGTTCGCTCACCTCTCGATCCTGTCACGGCTCTCTGCCGTGATAGGGGAGGGGCTGGATTCCCCCCTCCCCGCTCCGCCAGCGCTGACTGGCGGAATGGACGGGGGAGGGGGCTGGTACAGCTAGCTCTGCCTCTAGATAGGCAGAGCCAGCTGTCACTCACACAGCTGGGCGGATCTCGACATCGATGTCGGGATCCGCTCTGGCTGCGGCGTCTCCAGTATATCGCGAGCTGTAGCTCGCGGTATACTGATCTTAGGGTAACGGGAGGACGCTAGTTTGTGTCCTCCCGTTACCCTAAGGAGAACTATGGAGAAAAGCCCTGAACCCATAGTTCTCCTTTAAGCAAGCAGCGGCCTAAACCCACGTACAGCTGTCTCTTCCCATTCTCTACTATGGGCGGCTTTAGGCCGCAGCTGTGTATCATGGGTACGGAACTATGCCCACAATTTATTTATACGGCCTCATGTGTCCATGCATGGGGCCTAAAAAGGATATTAATTTAATCTCATGTAATCAACAGTTTAGTCTCTTCTTGGAAAAATTGCTTAAAATGGGTTTGTATTCCCATTTTATATTCATCTGAATTTTTTGTTACTAATATTGTAGTTTGATCATGACTATTGCTCTATCGTTCAGACAATTGTAACTTTAAGATTTGTAAGCAATCTTTCCTAGAATATCCAACACCGACTGCCAGTTTCAAGCAGCAAATCTCGGTTTGATGGCACGGTAGCAACAAACCACATTTCCTTTACTAAATACTTATGTATATGACTGCTTGAGGGGAGGCTATGACACCTCACAAGGTAAATTTACCTTTAATAGGGGCAGAGAAAATATTTAAAAAGCTCCAAAATCTTGAAAATCCAAGATTATTGATCTTAAAGTTGAACTCCATCCTTACTTTCAGTCTTGCACAGTTGTACAGACAGCTCTCCTGTAATTGCTGAAATTGCTTACTCCGATTTCACTGCACACTGTGAGCTTTTCATACTGTGCATTAGAAGCTGCAACAATTCAGATGGAAACCTCCTAATTTCCTGGCTGAAGGACGTCCAATAAAATCTAGTTCTTTCCTTACCAGCCTGACTATCCCTGGCTGGCCCCTTTAACTCATTGGATTTGACTTCTTTTAACCATAAGGGCTCAACCTCACATGCGGGCGTTATCTAGAGCAGTTTGCATGCAAATGCAGCCTGCCTAGGAACACCCACTCCTCTAGGCCGACATACACCTATCAAGACATTTTGACTTTGGCCATGGCTGCTCTGGATAACTGCTCCAGATACTGTCTGCTGCAGTATTGATTAATTCCACGCCATAGCATTTTGCGAATGAAGAAAGGGATAGCAGTGCAGATAAATGACACAGCAGTTTCTGTGTATGTGAACTGCAAGTGTCATAGCTGCAACAGGCCGGCAGTATAGTGTGAGCTATACCATTCAGCCTGAATGGAACTGTAATTATTTTTTTTAAATGACACAATATTTAAAGTGGTAAACCCCTGAAGACAACTTTTTTACACTTCCAAATTTGAAATAAAAAAAATGTGCCTAGAGTTCTACTGTAACTGAGCACTGCACTCTGTATGCTGGGTTGTACATGACATACTCCTGACCACTGCACTTGAAGTACATTATATAATCCTGACCCCCTGCACTCTAAGTACATTATATACACCTGACCCCTGTTCTCTTTATATTGCACAGCAGTTGTTGGTTGCTAAGTAGTCTCAGACTATGTCAATGACGTTCTTCTTCAAGGTAGGCCGTGTGCAGAAAAGCATATGTAATGGAAGAGTTTATTTGTTCAGTTTATTGTGCTGAGGTTTGTATGTGCCTGCTTCTCCAGTGGCACATAACAAGTTTTTCTATGCTCCTGTGACTTCTAGTTATGCCCCTTGCAGAGCCTGCTGTGGAGAAGAAGGCGCTGCTGCACAGATCACTGTCAGTGATCTGAACAGCAGCGCCTTCTTCTCCACAGCCGCCAGTGAAAGGCACCAGCATAAGATGCCATAGTGACCCAGGCAGCCCGCACGGCATCTGGCCGGGCCCCCGTGCCCCAAGCCCCAAAGCGGCCGCCTGGGTCGCTATGGCGATTGTTACACCACTGATTGCGGGATATAAAGGGACATGACTGTATTGGTCACTATTTTACAAGGGTCCCAGAGATATCACCCATGTGTACTCACCTGGCTTCTACTTCGTCCACTGTATCCAGCAGAGGACAATCAAGAGTTTCTGGTAGCCATAAAATTGGCAATCCACAGACAATGGGCACTGCTCCAAAAATAACAAGAGGAAGAAATGGCACATATGCTTTAGTCATCATAACCAAGGGGGCAACCACCGCACCCAATCTCATCATCATGTTGGTGAATCCTAGTCCAGTTTGCCTGCAAAATATCCAAGTTTGTGCATTTTATTACTTTGCAGAATATTTTTCCACCAAATGATGCGCTCTAGAATCTTTTTTTTCTGAACTGTTCTTCTATGGACTGCAAATAAAAAGTTGTACATTTTCTTTAGCCTCTTAGCAACATCTTTTAATTGATGGATGAGTTGAAAGTCTGTTCCAGCCATCAGGATATGATGATTATAGTTGATGGTAGTGGCATCGCTAGTTAATGCAATTCTTATAAACCAATAGCTGTAAGAGAAGCATTTGTCATGTGTCCCTCCTTGCTTATGCTTAAAGCAAGCTTGTGTTGTGCTTTATCTATGTAGAACAAAGCAATAGGTTTGCATTCACGGGGGTCACGCCAGATAATTATACTTGCCCTCCCTTCGATTCCCCTTTCCTTCTGGGTATAGGAATCATGTGACTAATTCCCCTTCCCATGCACTGATAATTGCCATTGAAGCCCTCCACACTACCACATGGAGTCATGACTCGGAGCTTACACTTGGCTTCGCTCTTCACACCCAGCAGCTAAGCAGAGGCTCAAAGACAAAAGTAAAAGCAAAAGGAAGTAAATGTACACAGTTGGAGGGGCCATCATTAAAGTGAACTTGGTGCTTTGCCCTGAATGGGCCCCACACAAAGAATAGCATCTATTCTAAGTGATTTCATCAGCATTTGAAAAAAACCTTTTCATTTTAATATCACTTTAAATGAAACTTTTGGTGTTTCCCCATAGCAGTAAATCATTCACCTAAACTGGAAAATTAGTTCACAGTTATAAATCTTACAACTAGCTCTTTCCTATAATGTATCTTTTTTGGTGTTTAACTGTATTTAAGGTCACTGCTTAACAGGGGTTTTCAAATCTCCGAATGGGTGATATTTTGTAAAGCTCATCAGAGGATCACTGGTACATGTGTTTGCTTGATGTATTCTTGGAAAACACTGCGTAGTATTTTTTATAACAGCCAAGGCAATTGAAAGGTTAATGATCTTACATTCAAATATTACTAAGCATCAAGCATATATCAGTTTGAAAATTTTTTTTTTGTCATAATGGTATGCGATAATGCTTCCACCAGAGAGAGAGAGTCTGATGTTTATTAGTAAAGGAGGCTGTTCTTTGCTTTGCCTGAACAATTTACATTATTTATCAGGACATCATGTACATGATCTCATTTGGGAGTATCATTAACAGACTTTACTGCAGTTTGGATTGATTTATGAATTAAATGGTACAGTTTTCCTTGTCCTCATGGTAACTTTTTTCTTTTGTGTGTAGTTGGATGTGGAGGAGAGATAATGGTGACTATCCCCAGGTCTGAAAGTGATGAGAAATTAGAAAATGTATGATGGGCAGAAGAGCAGGAAAAGAGGGGAAATCTTCCTGTGGGGTGACAAATGTCTTTGATGGGTTTTCCTATTCAATTCCTGCTAACAATTTTCATTCAAGAGTTTTGGCTATAGATACACCTTACATGATGTAAACCCAAACTGAATTACATTTAGGGGTTATTCACTATGGAGCCGAAAGATACAGCCGTAGCTTCGGCAGATCCTTCGGCTCTTTTCGGCCGCCTCTGCCCTTAAGTTCAGTTGCACCGAAGGGCTGCTGTACGGGTTATTCACAATAGCCCGTACAATAGCCGAAGGCAGCCGAGGGGCTCAGCCACACCGAAAGCACATGCTTCGGCTCAACTGAGCTGAAGTGACAGCCGAAGCATGGAGAAAAGTCGGCTGTACCACTGCTAGCTCGGCCCATTTTTTAAAAGAAATTATTTTTCTTAATTTTGTAATTTTCCTATTTTTTATAATTTATTATCATTTTGCAACTTTTTTTTAACATTCTTTACACTTCTTTTCTTTTCTGCTCGGTACCTTGGAGGTACCGAGCGGAATAGCTGAGCCGAATGCCGCTATTCACTCACTGCCGTTCAGCCCCTATGACAATAGGGGCGAATGGCAGCGAGTGAGCTGCTGGAGCTTCAGCTCAGCCGATCCAGATGATGGATCGGCTGAGTCGAAGTCCTTCTGCACTTCGGCTGACCGGAGGCAGCTGATGTACGACTGATTTTAGCCGATGTACGTAGCCAGAAGTGAACAGCCGAACAGTGTTCGACTCACTTCATTTCGGCTGGGTCATTCACTCAGCTGCCTTCGGCAGCTTTGTGAATAACCCCCTTAGTTTACTAAAGCATAGACAGTAATGGCTGCATGTCACCCTATAACAGAAAATGGCTGAGCAAGAACCTTCATGGCAGGATCACCAGATATTTGAATGAAAGATTCAGTTTGAAATGAGATTTAAGAAATTGCGTTTACATGTTCAACTCACTGGATTCAGTTCCCATTTTAGCAGTAAATTCCCCATTCAGCAGTAAATTTGTGATTGGCTCAGCGCGGTATACTGTATGTAGCCGAAGCTACCGTACACACAGTATTACGGCACATCCTGCGGGCTGACAGATTTGCCTCCCTGGCGGTCTGATTATTTTATTTATTTTTTCCTTTTTTTGTTCTATGTTTTTTTTTCCGTTTATTTTTAACTTTTTTAATTCCTGCCGGTTCCGCTCCCCCTGCGGCGCGGACGCTCGCAAGGGACGGAACCCGGAAGACGGAGGACACAGCGGGGATCGTGGACAAGGTAAGAGACACTACGCTGTAATCCCGAGTGTGGCTCGGGGTTACCGCTTAAGGTACTGAAAATTAACACCGAGCCACACTCGGGAATACCGCCAAGGAGGTTAGTGGGTGTATTTAAACATTATTTTGGGCTGTACTCGTCTTATACGAGTATAGCCCAAAACCTATGTTTTAACAGAAAAATGAGGGCGTCGTCTTATACGCCTAGTCGCCTTATACGCCGGCAAATACGGTATATTGCAAAGTGGTAGTGTGGGCTCATTTGGTTGATTTGGTTTAATATAGTTTTTATTGTTTTTCACATAAACACATTTATACATATCTAAAAAAAAGTAGAGATCATTTGGTTGATTTGAAACCAGCAGTGTGTCTGCTAGGTCTTCCTAATTGATTTGCTTACCTGAGCACTGTGGGGAAGACTTCAGCTGTATAAAGATAGGCACAGACAATGGAAGAGCCAAGAAATCCCTTAGATAGCACAGTGAGAGAGAGCTGCAATATAATTAAGTCTGAAATAAATTATAAAACTATAAATATATGGTCATTCACCGGCAGCGGATATAACATGACAGGAGAAAAATTGTATTAATGGACATTTTTAATGATTTTGATTAATATTTTAGTAATTTTTTTTGCGCACTGCCAATTGAAAAAATAATTCTGACTGTAGATAAACTATATGCAAACGCCTACATGTTTGCTTGCTTACTTACCAACCATTTGTGATTCAGTTGAGTCAATATTGTGATTTCCGTACAACTGACAATTGTCAGTTGTATGACAGTTGTCAGTCTGCATCTGATGTTTTACATTCATGCAGCTTTACGCTGCACCTGGAGCTCCCTGACGGGGAATACGTTGGCATTTATGGTGTACGGGTATGAGTACGTGTGCAAGAGCCCTAACATTTCAGATGCACACAGTCTGCATCTGATGTTTTACATTTGTGTATACCCGCTGACAACAGTGTACAGCCATTGACCTTTATGTGAGGCTATACCCTCTTTGTGTAGCAATTATTTTAATTATATGCATTTTGTAACACACAGTATTAATACAAATTTACCCTTGAGATTTGTTTTCAGGTCCAGGCTACCCAAAAGTGATATTTTAGTTGTATGAAGGTGGAGCCTGGTTGGCTAAGTCCTCTCTCGGCTTCTTATATGTCTCCAACAGTGAGATCTCCCTGCCCCATCAGGGTTTTTGCACCTACATTTGTGTATTCCAGCACCACCTATTGCATTCTCCAGAATATAAAACAACTGTGAAAACCCTACAGTCAGAGTGGGACTTCCTCATAATGGCCAGATCAGGTGTGCAGGATTAAGAACTTAAAGTGGACCTTTACCCCCTTTGACTAAAAATCACATCAGCATACAGCTCTGCATGCTGGAATGAAATCATCTTACATTCATTAACTAAAACATTTTTATTTTACTCACAATGTTTTTCCATTTCCTGGTCCTCTTTGGCACAAATTATGTAATTGTGCCCAAGCATTGCATCCTGCGAAGGTTACATCAGCAGAGCATTGCTGAAAAATCTCATCTTGAGATCTCAGGGAAAGGCATTTTCCTCCCCCGAGATGATGTGCACAGTCACATGTCCTAGTCACATGTCTAGTCACATGTGCCAGAGTTCCAGGAAGTAAAGGGAGATATATTAATCTGCCCTTAGTAAAAATGGCCACTGTGAGAAGAATCTGTTTGCATTTACTAAATCTGTCTGTCGTTACTAAACATTTTATGTTTTTGTTGTTATTTTGAAGATATGGGTAGAGTTCCTCTTTAAGTGCAGGTATGTCACCAATAGAGTCCTTGAAAACGTAAAAATGTTGATTTTTTTTGTTTTTCACAGATTGTCAAGATTTACCTACTGTAGCCAAATCCCCCAAAATTGGTCATGCTTTATTTTGTTTACTCATATTTTGTATTGGGGAATGATTATCATTGAATATATGAATTTTGCTTGAACCCACCTTTAGGAACTGCCAGACTACATAGTATAAGGATTCCAGGCAGAATAAGGAAAACGGAAACTGCAAATCGTCTGCCAATGTAAGCAGATATAACTGTACTCAAGACTCTAAGGGGGAGCTCTACACATCCAAAAACCACCTGTACAAGATAAATACTGAGACCAAACTTCTGAATATCCATTGCCAGAGCAAAGAAGCAGAAACTACTGGAGAACCTGATGTGAAAGAAAAGTGAAAGAGTGGTTAAGTATCATCACAGGTTATAAAGAATAGGTAAAACAAGGAAGTGTATTCAAACTGTTTCAACATTTTAAGTTAAAAATAGAACTTTTTGATGTGTTTTATTTGCATATATATGTATTACATATGCCCCGTCAAGGCACCTCTGCAAATTGTGGTCCCTAACTCTAAACTAACTGAGCCCCCATATTGGGTCACATATATAGCATTAAAAAAATTAAGAGCAGGTATGTCATGTAGGTAGGCCCATTCTCAAAGGTACAGCCACATAAATGCCCAACTTTGTTCTAGGCAGCTAAAGACCCTCGCTGTATTTAATCTGTACTAAATCCAACAAGGCAAAAATGGCAACTGTTTGGATCAATGTATAAATAGCACCGGAAAGGTACACATGGCCAGGGCAATTAACAGAACAAAAGGAAAACTATTGCTATCGTTCTGTAAACTCCCCTGACCATGTGCACCTTTCCTGTGCTACGTTTAAATTGATTTGAGCGGTTGCCATTTTTGCTTTGTTAGCTAAAACTAAATCAGTTCAGCCTAGATGACAGAAAACACTTTTAAGCCTCATTCTATAGGTTGTGACCTGAACCCTTTTACCATTGGGTCTTGAAAAAGTACACTGAGCCAGAAAAATGCAACCTATGGGCCTCAATAGATCAACTCAGCCTATTGCTCTATATTGATTGAAAAGTCTGCCTTTAATAACACAGGAGTTTCTTATGCATTCAGAGTATGCATGATCATAACCTTAAAGAAAACCTCTCCAGATAAACATGGAGGCTTCCATTTCAGACTTTTCATTCTGCAAGGACTAGATTCCTGGCTACTGCTGAACGTCTGGGGGGGATGAAGGAAAGGTTGATATATGCTGCTGGCGATGGGGTAATAAAGAAATGACCCTGCATGGAAAAATTACAGGTTTGCTTAAAGAATTATAATTATATCAGTTATACTACAGATTTGTAAAGATGGAGTTCCACTTTAAAAGACGGTTTAACATTATATAATGTATAAAGCTTGGTTGCTACTAATCAAATCACATAATTGACTTGTTAGGCTATATAGAGTCAGTTCACCTACCTCTCAGCGGCTCTAATGGTGAGATGAGTGGGAATACCTAAGACTTCCAGGTGGACTAGAACAGAGTCAGGGCAGGGACTATTGCAGCTTTGCTTTTAAGTCTGCCCTTTCCTTTCCCAATGCTGCTGTGCACAAGATCAAAGTTGGTTGGTAATGAAAAATTTCAAATACACGTATTTCTTGTTTTAAAAAATAAATGTAATGATTTTTCATGGAATACATGGTAGGCATGCCCAACGTTGTGTCGGTTGTGTCAGTTTTGGCTTTCTGAGAAAAGGATTTCGGGGGGGGTGTCTAGCATTGGAATTGATAAATTAAGAATAAAGAAAACCTGTTATTTTTGCCTAATATTGGCAAAGTACAGGCTCATATTATAGACATCATGCTGTATCATTTTTTACCACCAGGGGGTGTTATAGCAGTGCTGATCATTACTTTGCTTTAGGTTAGAGGATAATCTCTGTGCTAGCAGTGAACCTGTTGTATCCCCTGGTTGTCATTATAAATGACATAGCAGTATTTGTGAAAATATTTCTTTTAGAATCATATGAATGTCTGTTTAAGCTAGTAATATTTGCATCAATAGTATTGGTCTTTTGGAACTAGTGTTTTTTTTGGGGGATATATGTTTTATGGACACACATGTTTCATGTCCTCTTTTTCCAGTCATTTTAATAAAGTTTGATTTGGGTAATTGTTAGTTGTCATGCTATAATATATTAAATTAAAAAATAAAATTTGCTCAATAATACCACACAATCTATAAAACAATTTTATTTACCCTAAAAAATGTATTTCAAGTGATAAAAATATACTCAGAATAAATAAATCATTATTGACCACCCAGGCTGAAGTGTTTACACACCAGTAAAAGATTGACATGTATGGATAAAGCAAATCTGTGCTTTTCCCATTCAAGTCCCCCTGGCAGGGAAAAAAGACCATACTTACCTTTCTCACAGCCCGTATTGCAGAGATACCACTGCTGAAGAATCTTCAGCTTCCACCACACCTTACTACCGTCACTGTTTTGTAGCAATGTAGGGGTTTGTGGGAGGAACCACAGAAAGCAGAGGGGAACCATGAATGCGACACTCCATGAAGTGTCGGATTCTAAAGATTCTTCAAGGAGCTGTATCTTTGCAATAAGGGCAGATCAGCAGCACAGCTAATGAGAGAGGTAAGCATGAACTCTCTTCTTTGCAGGGGCACTTTATATCTCATATATATTCTAGTGGCACAATCACTTTAATCTTCAGTTCCTCCTCAGAATATACTTATCTTTCCTTAACTCCCTGGCATACTATTCAGTGCTGGCAACCAAAGGAAACTCCTGGTACTCGCTGGTATGGAGGAGTATGTGACTCTCTCCATGTGACCACACTGAGCCAATTAGCCAACAGCCCTGTGTAAGCTGCGTCTCTCATAATTTGTAGTTCGTAAACAAATTTCCTTTGCTCCTGGCAGCTGAATGGAGTAGCAGGTAAGAGAAAGGAAGGTAAGCATGGGTGCTGGGGATGTGGGAATAAAGTAAAAATGTTGCTTTGCATGGGCAAAGCACAGATTCACCCTAAAGGTGAAGTTTACTCAAACATTACATTCTAGCTATAGGTAAAACCCGTAGGGCTAATTCCACCCCTGGCTTCTCATATGTCTTAATTACTCCAACTGCAAGAGCCCTTTGCCATAATCCCCAATTCTTGTCCTGTCCACCTGAGAGTTTTTGGGTGTTCTTATTCACTGCTGCCTCTTTCTGCACCCCCATAATATAAGGTAGAGGAAATTCAATGGGGGGGGGGGGCACCTCATAATGGTGGCAGTAGGTTTACAAAGCCAAGTACCCAAGTGCAGATATCTCACTTACAGAGTCCCTAAGAGATATAGGAAAATGTCAGGATTTACTCTCCAGTATCTACCAAAATTAATTTATGAGTAGTAAAGTCATCATTTTTTAATAGGAGTGTAATTGTGAAATAGTTTTTAATTAAATAAGAACACATTCATCACCAAGACATAGAAAGGAAGATGGTCATTTTTCGCATTGTTGGGGTGCGAAATAGATCAATAGGGGTCATTCTGGAAGTCAATGCGGTGGAATCGTTCTGAGTTTCAGGTCTCAGCATCTGAAGAGACAAATAAACATTGGCAGTCTTAATTGCTGTGGATCTCTACACCACTAGGTTCCAATGCACAATGAGAAAACATAATTGGCTGGGGTTAGGGTAACATATGTAATTGGCTGGGGTATGTAACATATCTAAAACGGAGGGGTGGGCAGATGCGGTTCAATGTTAAAAATGAAAAATCCTGCACTCGAGAGCAAAACATATGAATGCAAGATACTTATAAGGAGGTGCTCCTCTGGAGAGATCAGGGATGGAGAAAGATCTGGGGTTCCTGGTAGACCACAGACTCAGCAATAGCATGCATTGCCAAGCTGCAGCTAGCAAACCCAACAAGATACCATCATGCATTAACACATATATTTCCTCAGAGATAAAACTGTTTTCTAGCAAAATGCAAAACACAAGTTCGTCCTCATCTTGAGTCTGCAGTTCAGTTCACAAGGATGTCCTTCAATGGCAGAAAGGCGTAACAAAATTAAAAAGGGGGTGGAGGACCTAAATTATGAAGAACAACTACAGAAATTAAATTTTCTAATTGGAGAAGAAGTGCTTAAAAGAGAACTATGGGGTAACCTTTTTATCCCATAGTTCTCTTAAGGGTCACAGGAGGACATATACTAGCGTCCTCCCGTGACCCCCCTCCTTAGTCCGTTCCTCCAGTCAGCGCTGGAGGATCGGAGCGGGGGTGGGATCTCTTTGGGGAGAGGTGACTGACAGTGACTGACACCTCTCTCTGCAAGGAGATGATCGGAAAGTGAGTGGTCGACGGTATGCGTTTGCTCACTTCTCGATCTATAGAGCCGGCATGTGACAGTTTCATTGTCACACGTCGGCTCGAACTATGGGGTTGAGTGAAAATCAATCACCTCATAGTTCTCCTTTAAAAAGGGATATGATTGCAACATACAAATCTCTCAATGGGGACTGCAGTATTGGGAATAAACTGTTTAACCTAAAAACTCAGGAGGACACGTGGCCACAACATGAAGTTGAACGAGAAATGGTTTAATCTGAAAATGCCTAAGGAGTCTTTTTACTGTCAGAGCAGTAAAAATGTGGAACTCACAGTTAGTGGTATGAGCTGACAGTATAGATAATTTCCAAAAACATTTAGATGAGTTTCCCAGTTCACAATATATACAGGGCTATGGACGTTCATAACGACATGTACACAGACAGACAAACACACACATACATATTTAGGTTGAACTAGATGGACCGGTGTCTTTTTTCAACCTTGCAACTTATGCACAGTAACTATGTAACATGTACAGATACACTGCACAGTGCACACCGTTCCATATGTTGCTTGTTATTTTGAAAATTGTCTTGCTGTTTTAGTGTTTGTGTATAGAATAATTTGAACATGAAATAATTCCATGTTGATAGGCTGAAATAAAAAGCATGTAGAGGACGGTGTTTCATCTTGTCTCTGTAAGCAGATACACCCTGCACATTTTGCTATTCACACAATAGAGAAAGCAAATTTAAAGTGGCTTCATGTAGTCACAGCGATTGGCACCTTGTGGTGTAGTTTATATCTAACAAAGGTGTACCAGCTCTCAATGCTCAAAACAGACATAAGCAGCAGTAAAATAAAAGGGTTCTAAAAGTGAAAATCACTTAAGTGGAGTTTCACTTGCAGAGTAAGTCCAATCTGATGTTTGCAAGAGTCAATGTCCCTCAGAAATGACCCTTACCAGTAGAATATCTTAACAGTTGTAATGGTAAGACAAAAGCTCCAGCTGCCAAATGCAGCAGCCAGAGAGGGTGTCGCAGAGCTAAGTTCACCCAATCAAAGGGTCTGATGGGGTGTTTTGGATGGATGCTAAACAGTATGTTGCTTTTACTTAGGTTAGGGTTTCTTGGCTTCATAAGGGTCAACATTTCTACTTGCTTCTCTTTCTTTTGTAATGTTAGGAAGGGCTGTGAGGGGTGAGAGGCCTTTCCATTATATGTTAATGAAGTTAATGAGAGAAACAGAATCCTTGATATTCAGTTCTAAGCCTTTCTGTAAGGACAGACGGATCCCTGTAAAGGTGCTGAGAAAAACCTGGATTCAGCCATCTTGTCTGCTGCAACAAAACATGCAAAAGGTATGAAATATGTTTTCAAAAGTTATTTTTCGGTATGCTGTGTGAATGGGAACACATAACAAACATATAGTGGGGATTTCTCAAATTTGACTGCAAAAGTGGAAATACAATTTAATGCCTAGTATCCTGGGCACATCTATATTTCCATTTGACAAGGCTTTACAATCTACAAACCAACATATTATTTAACAGAACTAAATAACCATTCATTAGAATCTAAATATGTTATAGATAGCAAGTAACAAATAGCCAAACTCTCTGCATGTCTTTTTATCTTACTTCTGTGCATATTCTGCACTGTTCCATATTTTTGGAATATTAAATATAAATTAATAAATTGGCCTTCTTTGTACCAAGCAAAGAGTGCATAACGCCTGAAGAGATTTTTGTGTTGCATTGTATATACCAGCATACAGTCCATTAACCCATTGCACTCAAAACCGCTGTTCCATATAAAAGATGGGTCCTGCGGCAGTCGATGGATGGCAATCGTCTATAATCACAGAATAACATAGACACCGACACTCCAAGTGGTGAATCAATGGCGTCTGTACATTGACACATGAGACAAAGCACAATGCATCAAAAAGCAACGTTTAAGGGTCTCACAAGATCCCCTCCATCAGACAAAATGAGTGCCTCTCATTTTGCCTGATGGAGGGGATCTTGTGCCGGTGTCTATGTTATTCTGGCATTGTATATACCAGTACCTGTAATCTCGGTTGTAAGGTTGCTGTTAATCAGTGTGAGATTACATTGTGTGGCTGCGCTCTTGTGATCTCTGTCAGCTGACAGAGAATGAGATGACCAATTTTGTTAATACTCTATTTAACACTGTGAGCAACCCCCTACCCTAGTATATAGAAGAGAATGAGATGACCAATGCGAATGCAGGCAGATTAATGTCAGTGTGTGGAATCCATCTTATCTGCTATAGGCATTGCCAGCAATAGGGATCTGTGTATATGGAATCACCTAGCTTGCTACACAACCCTTAGAGTGCACCAGATTGTATGCAAGATTTGCATCTGCCTTTGTGCTCAGCCAGCTAGATTTTAATAGAGTCACCCTCTAGTGGAATTGTTCTACCTTCCCAAGGGATTATCTCTCCTCATCCCCCTCCCCTCCCCCCAAACAAGAATCTCATAGCATGAGTTCATGACATCTGGTGGCAGTGGTGGGATATAAGTGTGTCTGTGCTGGTTATGGTTGCACCCAGTGTCCAGATTGGGGAACTTTGAGTTCTTGTGGTAATTTGCCAATGTGCCTGACAATTTCCAAAGATGGCTATACTTGTCCATCATCTGGCCTCCCTTGTCCTTGTACCCTCTGTATCCTGATCTTTGAAACTCATTTCAGGACTGTAAGATAGATATTTTCAAGTAGAGCAAATTTTACCTCAAGAGTAACAGGGCTTCTATGTTTGTCTCCATTAACTCTTGCTACTCGATTCAGATTATAAAGAGCTTGCTGAGAGCGATTTGCAAGGACAAGCCAGCGAGATGACTCTGGGACCCAACTATAAATAGTAACACGGGGAAAAAAAATGGAAAAGGCAGTTAACAGATATTCAAAAGAAATGCAAGTTATGTAAAGCATTTGTTTTGGACAGGCAGTGTATATTCCGTATAAAAGAAGACCAGATTAAAGAAGACCAGGTTAAAAGACGACCTCAAGGCTAGTAGCTAAATAGACAGTTGAAGTGCATAAATGTGAACTGTCTCACCTGACTTTTAATACAGTTCATTCAGTTCTGTAATCCAGACATTCTGTCAGATATTTCAGCCAGGTCTCTGACTTCCCTGCATTACCCTTAATTGTACAATGAGTAGCTGCATACTCATAACATACTATTAGTTTTCAGCACTGAGATATTGGCTTAGGAACCTAAGCTATTGGCTAATAGTTCCAAAGCCTGATACAGTCAGTGTGTAACTGTAGGGGTTGAATTACAGTAGTGCCATGCACAGTTCACATCTGTGCGTTTAATTGTGGTGCATTCTGCATTTTTGGTGCAAATTTCTAGCCATAGGCTCTTACATAGAGTTCTATAATAATAACCAAATATTGAATAATACCAAATGTAAAATGCAAAAATGCATATTTTAAAAATGCACTGCAATAAATGATAAATACAGAGGCATGAATGGGCTCTTTGGCATTAGGTAAAGGTTAGGGTGAAGGATTAGAGGTTCAAAGACAACATGTAGTCCCCAAACATTGGGCAAAGTACATCTCTGCTTCATATCGCAGACCTCCAGGCCCCTGCATGTCTCTTCAGATCTTTGGGTGACTCTGTTATTGAACAGTTTTCATGGTTATCCTGTCTCTTTGTTATTGGTCCATCATTGTGACCGATGTCCTCTTGAACCAATTAAACTAACTTACTATGCTAATTAGGTTCTAATTTTGTTTATTTCTCCTGTAAGTATGTTGATAGTGTTAGACTGGCAGCAATGTGCAAAGCAGTAGAATGCTGATTGGCCCAAAGTGCTGTCACTCCCTTTTCCACTGTAATTGTTGCTGTTCAGTAGGTTAAGCAGGCTGATATCAGTAATATGTAAAATAAATGGTATTATATTTAAATATAATGTAGGTGTTTAGCTTTCAAAATGATATTTAAGTTCAAATATACATGTAAAATATTTTTGGTATATTTATTCTGCTATACTGTAAATTATATGTAGCCACCTTGCCCTAAGTGGGGTGACTACTTACATTTAGTTTGCTGAGACTGCATTTAGTCTGGCTGATTGTATAGTCTGTACTCATTTGGGTTTCCTTAAAGGATTCTGTTATTGATTGCATCTGCCTGCTGCTGGGTGTAGCCTTTCCACAGAGCAGAGCAACCAATAGTGGAATGCTTCGGATATCTACTGTATGTCTCTTCAGCCAATCACTAGGAGTTTCATGGCCAGTGGTGCATCCTGGGAGAGGACATAAATATCCGGGTCTGACCATGTGAGAGTCTCTTTCTCCCCCGGGCCTCCTCATGTGTGTGCTATCTGACCGGGCCTGAAACCTACAGGTGGTCAGGTGTGGACCCAGTCAGGGTCAGGAATTATTCCTGGGATGGAGAGCCAGGGAGGAAATTAATCTGCTGGAGGTACCGCAGAAGCCATGATGGGCTTGGACCCTTGGAGAAAAGTCTGGTGTCTCACCCAGGGGAGATCTCTAAATGTCTACCAACCAGCTATGGTTCTTTAACACAGTTTCACTGCATTTTCGGTTTAAAGGCCCTCTACACCATGAAGCTGGAAAGCATTCTGTGAGTCTGGAGTTCTGTGTTCCTCAGATATCTGCAGCCCTAACCTTCTCTCCCAATTTTTTGCTGTTCATTTAATAAAGCATCACAAAACTTTAAAGTGACTGGCGCTCCATTTCACTTGCACATCCCAAATTCCAGCTAAGGATCCATTCCTAAGGTGAAATGACAGCTCCCCCTGCCCCTAAAACCCAGAGGGGCACTATATTTTTACTCTTATTTGCTAAAATATGCTTCTTAGTGTCAACCTACCAGGTAAGTATAAAAAAGAAGAAGTAGGGTACAGAAAGTGCCAGCTGCAGCCAATTCCAGTCTCTTATGACATATGCCACTCCTGCCAGGATAATCTGACCAATAGTGAGACAGGTACCTTGAAAAATTGAAACTGTGGGACGATATCTCATTGGTGTCCACTCCATTGCTGCCAAAAATAAACAAATAACATCTTATTATATTATGGTGTCTGTTGAATGATAATATATGCCCTTCCTATCACCCTCTACCACAAAATGACTCTCCTTTCCTTGCCAAAGTATGATTAAGTCAAATTAACTTTACATCGCATATAAGCATAATGTCAAAATGCTTTCTTTATTCTGTTGCTGCTTGCCATTATGATGTGTGCATTGGTGCATGATCACGGGGGCTTTAAAGAAAACCTGTCATAAGAAAAATTAGAAATGAGGTGAAACAAAAGGAATGTGAATGCTCTTCTTTGTGGAATGTAATGTAAGATACAACAGCAAACCACAGTGTATACAGTTAGAATTTTTATAGAATTTCAGAAAAGCCAACACGTTTTGGGATTTACAATAACGTATTCAAAGCTAAAGGTGGTCCAATGAAATATAAGAGTGTGTGACTTTTTGTTTTGGACAGGCAGTGTATATTCCGTATAAAATTTGCTATAGTATAGTACACTCCTTTAAACTCAAGTAATGCCCATTCTGATGGAGTAGATAGCTCCTTTTGTTTCACCTCATGTAGATACATGTGGGACACTGTGATATCTCTCCACTAGTAAATGAGCAGCCTATTGCTTCTATTCAATACAGACTATAGCAGTACCCATAAGCACCTAACTTTACCCATAAACAAAATTAGAAGGCAGCCATTTCTGACCTCTTTCTGACAGCAATAGATGACACTGGCCCACATGTTTCAATACTTTCTGAGCCACTGACCAAGAACAAGTAGATCTGGAAAGTCAGGTATCCTTATTTACATACTTGTTCTAAGTAATTATTAAAGTATTAAACCATATTGTTACATGCCAGCCATGCATCTCAGTATAGGTTTCCTCTATGGTTAACTATTGCCAAAACTTTTTTTAGAGCTTTCAAAAGGGTAGGGAATGGTTATAGCCACTGTCAGGTTTTTAATTGCAGTCTGTTCCCCAAAAGGTCACACTACTTGCTCTGGTGACCAATGTCCCCAGGACGCAAAGTCATGGGAATTCTAAAATGTTACAATTGTCACCAGAACAAGGGGTGAGTTTACCGGGATCCACCTTGAACTCTGTACAATTCAGCCAACATGTTCACACAATGTTGGCCTCTTTCCTCTTTGTACATGAAAAGGGGAAGTTTGTGCTCCCTTTGTCAATTTGTTAATTGGTAGAAAAAGTACTTTTGAGGTCAAAGTACTTCTTATCATGCCATAGGGAAGCCTTACATACACTCACCTACTCATTACATTGGCCTAGAATCATGTATAACCCTCCTAAGGCTGGTCTTACTCACAATAGTAGTGAATAAATCTCAGCCAGTCTTTTTTAGCTGAGGTCTTTCCCTTCCTTATAAATTCAGATGCTATATACAGTATACCATCATACTTAATTTATGTACTGTACCATATAGATACTATATCCCACTTCCCTCAATAGACTTACTTAGTCCAAGGTCATTGATGATGAAACCACAGATCCCCATGCCAGTCATGAATCGAAAGAAGCAGTAAAGGGAGAAATAAGGAGCAAAGGCAGCCCCAGTTCCCATTGAAGCTGTCTGCAGAAGACACCATAAGATGACTACTCTGCGTCCAAACCTACAGGGTATGAAAATATCGGGCATGAGCATGGTCTTTTTAGTTATAACATGAGAACATAGCCTAATTTTGCAATTATCCAAAACATGCTGTTACATACATTGACAACTTCAAGGCTTCTGTGTGTGGGCTTCAGATTTAGAAATACGGTAAATGCAATATGTATTTGTATTGCTTTGAATCATGTTTAAGTTGCATTGAACTGCTTTTGACTTGCTTCTGCGGTATTTATGATTGCTTTAGACTGCTTCTGAGTTGCTCTGAGCAGCCTTAAATAGCTTAGGATGTGATTTTGAATTCACATTGATATGTTTGAGAAAAGAATGCAATTCAGAAGCAGATACTGTACATTATGATGTATAAAAGCTCCGAAGGCTCTGAACAGGCTTAATCTTTCTTTCCCAGAACAATCTCTCTCTATCCCCCAAAATCCTTGTTACTGCTGATGTCTAGTATCTTGCAGACCAAAATATGATGTACAGATACTAAAAGACACTGTCACCTTGCCCATGTCACACAGTACCTGATACTTCTGGGTATGGGGGAACATGTAACCTGCTCCCTTGTGACAGTGTTTGGAACAATCACTAGGCATGATAACTATCACTTGACCAAAGAAGTGACATCTCCAGCTATAACAGAGAAAGGAGCAGTGAGGAAGTGCTGGAAAGGTGAGTATAAGGGGTTGGGGGGGGACTTGCTCTGTGTAGGCAAGTGACATTTTTGTTTGTGAAAATGATCATTAAGTAGGTACAATAATAAAAGCAGGTAAAGTAACTTATCCATCTTAGTGAAAGGACTAAAACATTTTTGTACAAATGTGTCCCTGCTCCATTTTGTATGATTTTAATATATATTTGTCACTTATCTTCATGTTGCAGAAGGAAGTATAGCTGACGTATTTGTGTGTGGGTGGTGGGGTCATGATCAAATTGTGCACAGGGTTCCAAGTAACTGAAGGCCATCCCCGCATTCGTATTAGTATGCTGAGAGATGGTTTGTAATGTACAGCACACCTGAGCTGTCACTGACAACATGCTGACACAGGAAGCCGAGAGAGGAGAGCTGAATTCATTAAGTGAAGACGGGCATGGTGTAGAATGCAAAATACAATGAAATACTGTGCAAATGGTGGCTTTTGAGGATGAAGGAATGTAGAAGAATGTAGTGAAATATATTTATCGGGGTTTCTATCACATTATTTTCTTCATAGTGCATTTTACATTACAGAACACCTCTATATTTTAGATGTAATATGTTCTAACTGAATTATTGTTCCGATGGTAAGCACATGTTTGCAGTCCACAGCTGACAGACATGTCAAGTTTGGAATCCGCTTATTTTTTCATTTGACCTTTTCTTTTTAACGCTCAGATTTTTGCTGTAATGTGTACATTATTGTATACATATTGTTATATTGTGCACCGGTTTCAGTAAAGACACTATATAGCAGGAGTTTAAAGGCTAAGTGTATCATATTCAGGGTGTAACATAAAACATCACAACCCTGACACCCCCCACAGACACACGCGCACACATTTTGAATCGCAGGGTTCTTCTCCCTCCAGGCTGCTACTCTTTTTTTAATTTGGTGTAGCTGTATCTGGTTCTGCCCACACAGTCGAGTCATTCATGCACAAATCCTTTGACAGAGAAACTGCCAGTCCCACCAACCAGAGGGACTTGTTGTCTAGCGTGGTGACATCACCACACATGTAGTCCATTCATACCTCCTCTTGTCCTTGCTACTGTATGTCTGTACCTCGGTACGGACAGAGACAGGAGGAAGAATCTACAGGAGCGAGAGCATTGCAACTGCGATCCTCTGATCCTGCTGGCAATGCTTTACTGGCTTCAATGCAAAAAAATAGTAAATGCATTTTTTTATTTTATGAACATGTGTGCATGTATAGTTTTTTTCAAAAAAGTGGATTTTACCTTTAAAGTAGAACTCCAATCACAGTTTTGATGTCAATTTATTTTCTATAGTCCTATATATTTATCTGGTTTTTATTCTCCTATTTTCATAGTATACTGTATTTGCATTATAGTACCTTCCCACATCTTTCTCAGTGCCATCCACTGCTATAGCTGAAACATTTTTCAATCAGTTTGTGTTTAGCACCATGTTTCAGATCTATTTGTTGGTCTTATTTTAGCTCTATGATGTTTTATCTTCAAAGTTTTGAACATGGCATTAGATTTTATTATGGAGTACTTTCTAAAGTAACATCTATTTCCTGCTTTTATTCTAGCTTAAATTTCCCTGCTTACTTTGATTTTCTCTGTAGAAAAAGATGTTAAATATTTCTTTCTGAAATTCATAGTTTCTTTTTTTCTCTTAATTGATTTGAAGCCCTATCATTTTTTAAAATCTTTTTTCCTATTTAAAGAAACTAAATCTTAAAGCCGGGCTCAAAATTTCAACTCGCCCCCTCGCAATTGGCGAGTGAAAATTGTGTGGGGGCGAGTGGAAATTTGGGGAGGAGGCACTACTGGCAGGACCATGGGGGGAAATGACCGCTTCAACAGTGGCGATCGCTTGTTCAGTTCTCTCTCTCTTCTCCTCCTCGCCTGCTGCTGCTGCAGAGCAGCTGAGGAGGAGAAGAATCAGTTTGACTGTGTTTCTTTCACTTTGGCTCCTCGGGCCACCTGCAACTTCCTCCACCCACCTCATCTGCCATAGGCTGGGAGGAAAACTGCAGAGCTACTATTGGGCTGGCTGGAAATTTATGCAGCACGGGACCTGAAGAGAGGTTTCATGGAGGATACATCTCTGAAGCACCCCCCCCCCCCCCCCCACCCCCACCACTACCAGGAGAGGAAGAGGGCACCTGAATCAGATCAGCTGTGTGCACTGTAAGTCCCTGTTCTTTCTGCCTTACACTGCTGACCTCTGCACTATGCATTACATTACTGACCTCTGTACTGCTGACCTCTCTACTGTAAGTTACATTACTGACCTCTGTACTGCTGACCTCTGTACTGTACATTACATTACTGATATCTGTACTGCTGACCTCTGTACTGTGTGTTACATTACTGACCTCTGTACTGTATGTTACATTACTGACCTCTATACTGCTGACCTCTGTACTGTGCATTACATTGCTGACCTCTGTACTGCTGACCTCTGTACTGTGCATCACACCGCTGGCCTCTGCACTGTGTGCCATACTGCTGATCTCTGTACTGTGCATTATACCGCTGGCCTCTTTACTCTGCATTACACCGCTGACCTGGCAGAGTTAAGGCTGGGGCAGGGTAGGGGTTAGGTGGCACAACTGGTGACGAGTAACCCCTAAGGCCTGGCTAGTAGCTCAGGAATTAAATTATGAGCCCTGCCTTAAATGACAATGTAACTTTTAGTAAAAAGTACACTAGCTCACTCTCTCTAACCTCTGGACCCCGAACATAGAAACCCCTTAACTAAGAGTATTTTTACCTCAGAATGAGAGCTATGATCTACTCCAATGTTTTGCTCCTGAATGCCTAAATCTTCATTGCCATTTCTGCCTGTAAAGTAGGCCCTCATAGACTTGTATAGGGCTGCACTCTATGAATACAGACATTCAGAGTACAGCCCTATTCAAATCTGTGGGGACTCACTACATAGACATAGCAAGTAGAAGTAAATCAAATGGTGAGTAGTACTTAGAACTGTGTTGCCCATCCATCTGCTGTGTGCTTGGACTGTATTGAGAGGTATTTAGAAACGGGTTTTGTTCCTACCTGGAGATCCGACTGATTATAATCACCCTCCTTGTATTTGCACAACTGCCTATGTGGTCCGATCCGTGACCATATTGATTCGTACAAAGAAAAGGATTAACTCGTCACAGAATAACGGGTTAGCAGTGGTCAATTCAGGGATCCGGACAAGCCAGTTAGTTGCATGAAAAAATTTTTTTTATTGAAAAAGACATATAAGATAACACATTTGACTAACTATCCCACCATAAAAACTTTAAAAATATGTATTGAGAGGTATCCCTGCTGCTACTGTATGTTGACATCCAGAGAGACTGTGACTGCTGTGAGTGGGGCTGATACCCTGTTCATCTACGAGGTCTGTCAGGAGAAATGCTTAATGCTGGCTCAACATTTTCGCCAGCCTTTGTGGGATCACCTGAGATTCCGGTATCATCTACTGTGGTAAGAGGTTTCTAAACAATCGACTTTTTATTACCTATTTTGTGAGAAAAGAAATGATGCCCCAGTGAGAAACCTCTTTCTTTGGGAACCTTTCATCACCTTATGACTTCTTTAAAGCTTTGTTTAGAGAGCTAAACAAGGGCCCCAACAGCGGCAGAACTTTATATAGCGCTACTGGCCAGTAATCTAGAAAAGGGTATCTGGTTGCCATTAGTGGGGTAGCTTATCTTTTACATTATAGTTAACTTTGCATACATATAGAATTTTACATTCTGTTATTCAGTTGCTGTCGTTCATGGGTACTGATTAAGAACATATTTGCTATACCATATCGCCAATTGTTCTTTGATACAAAGTGCTTTTGCCTTACATTAAAGCCCATTATATCCCGCAATGTGTGTTGGTGTGTCGTGCGTCAGGTCTGGACAGAAAAGAAAAGTAATTCCTTGCTGCACTCCTTACCGGGATTCCCATGCAAATCTGCAAGTGGGTGCTTGAAGTGACTGCGGATGGTGCCGCCAACGTATAGATATTTGAAGATATTTGAAGAATGTCACCAGATTGTCTGGACAGTTCACCTCTGGAACGGGACAGAAGAAACTGAATGTATCAGTGGCTCCTTTGGGGGTTAGCGCTGCATAAGCAAGCAGTTGGGTTGGTGGTTTTATGTTGGGAGGGTTGGGGAGGATTGATGCACTTTTTTTTAGCAAACCTTTTGTCAGATAATTGGAATCCTGCCTATCTTTACATCTCCTTTTAAAAATTCTAGCTGCCTGGCTGTCATACTGATTGAATGGCTACAGTACTTTTTTATAAGGTGCACCAAAATGACAATGACAACAAAAACAAAACCGAAAATAAAAAAAAGTCAGGCCGAAACTGAAAATGTTTTTTTTTTAAATACTTTTACATTTTTTTTAAATATTTTTTATTTATTTATTTATTTTTATTAAATATTGTAATTTTTTTAACTGTTGTTGGCTTCGGGGAAATATCAGGGGGCTAAACAGACCCCTGATATTTCCCTTTTAAAATAGAAAAAGAGATTGAGGACACAGAGTCCTCAATCTCTTATTCTGAAGCCCCTGTTAAAAAATTAACAGGAATACTTTATACTGAGGGTTCCTGTTCATTTATAACTTGTGGAGATAGTATGTTTACCATGTCCACAATCATGAATGAACAGGAAGTGATGTAGATCACTTCCCATTCATTCATAATTGGGGACACAGTAAACATACTCTGTCCTCTATTTTTTACAAACACCCGCTCGCACCCGCTCTCCATCCTGACTCGCTGTCACAGGAGGCTGAGCGAGCGGTAGGAGAGCTCGGTCTCTTGTGACAGCTGACTCCTCCCCGCACCGCCGGCCCAGCCTCCTGTGACAGTTGACAGATGTCTTTGCCCCCACACCGCTTTCCTGATCTGTCCCAGGTGGCTGAACGGGGCAGTGCAGGAGGAGAGCCTGGCCTCCTGTGACACGCCAGCCACGCACATTGCTCCCCCGCACCGCTCAGCCATTTTTAGGGCTAATAGGCAAACTACTGTCAAAAAGGCATGGTAAACTGGGCGCTGCCATGGGGAACTTGTACTGATGCAAAAAAAATGACATACAGCAGCGAGAGGGTCTTTTCATGCAGCTTCGAGGGCAACATTGAGAATACACACATCCCTAAGTTGTACATGATGTTACAGAACAGTATGATGGACAGTCTCAGCGACAGAGTATACTGAAAGTGCATATTTGGCTGTGGAATTGTGTTTTTTCTTTTACAATTAGCTTGGCTTAGATACAGCAGCAGTACTCCAATTTGATTTATTTCAGTTTGGAAAAAAAATCTTTCAGGTAGGCTTAAGCAGTGACACATACTTTTTTATCCAAATGCTAATAGCTATTGGCCAGGAGTTTGTTGTCCTATCCTTATTTTTGCTGATGCATAAATGTCCTGCTGCTAGAGCATTTGTATCAAGCTCTCATTAAGAATTAAGAGACTGCAGATGATACAACAGTGTAAAATTGGCCTAGCAGCAGGACATTTTTAATAAGGGAGAATTGGATAAAACGCACTAAAGAAAAGAAGTACTGGCAGGTATTTTACTCCAATAATTAAGAGACCACAGACATAGCAGTGTACAATTGGCTAGTGGTAGGATCATTTTAAATAGAAAGGCTAGGCCCAAATTTACTAAGGTTTTCACCACAAAAATTTAGATGCTGCAAAGGATGCCGCAGTGTAACATTGGCCAGCAGCAGGACAGTTTTAATTAGGGATAAAAGGCCTAACTACTGTATGCCTACCTTTTATTTTATCTATAGGGATGGGAAGTGCGTTCAATGTGACTGATAAAATGTGAGGTGGTTTAAGTGAACACTGTTCTAGCATTTAGTTTTTTGTTTTTTTTGTTCACTTAAACAAAAAAGCAAACAGATGGACAGTTAATGTTCCACTTTAGGCACCCCCAAACCTGAAATAAGGTCCTGAAACAAAAGTAAACTTTAAAAAAAGGAAGATTTGCAGAAAAACAAAAAAGTTTAACTTAAAATATAGGCCCTCTAAATATCAAATAAAAAAAATACCCTAAAAATAAACGAGCACCTCAAATACTACCCCCTGAAACAAAAGTCTATAATTTTTAAAGGAAAGCCTAACAGCACAAGAAAAAGTTTGCTATGCATGGGACAACAGCTAAAAGTGACAGCTGACCTCAAATCAACTACAAAATACAATGAGATACAAAAAGCCCTCAATAACAAGAACAAAAAAGCAGCAAAGGGGCTGGATGCCCAAAGATCTACCAATCAGAATTAAAGTACAGTTTCCTAACTGATCCTAATCTATCCCTACGCAGTTTGTCAGCTCTCCCTATGCTTTCCTTACAATAGCTTTTAATTCACTGACACTAAGCACCCCCCCCCCCCCCTTTTTATAGTGAGGGGGCTGGCTTATCCAAAAGCCCCCTTGTAGGTCCTTGTAAGCCTGCTTGCCATAGTTCAAAGGCCATCCAGTGCATTATGGTTTAAAAAATGTTTCCAGGAATCTGCACAAAAAGATCACAAATCTCAAACCCATGGCAACAGGGAACGTGAACCACATCCCTAATCTGCAAGATATTTTAGGGTTCTATTAAAGATTGTAGCACTTTCTTTAATCATCAGTATTTTATCACTTTTTATATCTGTATCTGTTTTGTCTTCAGTTGCAAGTTTAGTAAGGATTTTAAAATATCTGTAGTGTCTGTATTTAATAAACACATGGTTCCTATCTCATTTTTTAAAACTCTCATCTTTGCTTTCCTTATATAGGACATTTAGCAGGGTGATACCACAATAATCCAATGTTTTCTTCAGGATTAGGCAAATGATTCCCATGTTCTATTCATCTGGCATTGATTTCTCCTTCAAAACCTCACGTATTACTTCATGTATGTATATGTTTCCTTTAAGTCAGCTCTACTTGTTTTATCAATTATGACCTTGTACCATACTCTCCCGGTGCGTTACTGCTTTTCAGTTTTTTGATGACTATCCCTACTTCTTGGTACAATGAGACTTTAATTTAAAATCCTAGGCCTTAAAGGAGAACTATGGGGTTAAGTCTTTTCCCCATAGTTCTCCTTAGGGTAACGGGAGGACACAAACTAGCGTCCTCCCGTCACCCTAGGCTCAGTATTCCGCAAGCTGTAGCTCGCGGTATACTGAGACGCCGCAGTATACCACGAGCTGCTGAAGCGACAAGTATGCCTGGACCCGCCCAGCTGCGTGACTGACAGCTTGCTCTGCCTATCTAGAGGCAGAGCCAGCTGTACCCGCCCCCTCCCCCGTCCGTTCCGCCAGTCAGTGCAGGCGGATCGGAGAGGGGGAATCCAGCCCCTCCCCTGTCACGCAGAGAGCCGTGACAGGATCGAGAGGTGAGCGAACACCGCTATGTGTTCGCTCACCTCCCGATCTACTGAGCCGACCTGTGACAGTCTCATTGTCACAGGTTGGCTAGAACTATGAGGTGAGTGAAAAGCACTCACATCATAGTTCTCCTTTAAAATAAAAAAAATCTTCATGTATGTTTCTTCCTAATTGCTCTTCAAAGTATTCAGCCTGGCATTCTAATATGTTATCTTCTTTCCCAATGAAGTATCCATGTTTTTTCTATAAACTGTCATTCTCTATTGAAACCCTTTCTTTACTACACTTATCTCTGTCAACAAATTTCTACCTTCCTTCATTTCAAACAGTTCTTCTATTCTCTGGAGCTTTTTCCCATTTTCTTCCTCCTGCATATTTTATGTATCATTCTTTTTTTTTCGGTAAATTCGTCTATATTTGTGCTTGTTTTTCTCTCTAGGCTTGGCCTTAATTCTTCCTTTTACTGATTTTTTACATTCCTTGTCAAATCTTAATTTCTTTGTACAGATTGATAACCAAGAACTTTTTACAGTTTCTATTATTACGTTTTTTTACTTTGTCACCTTTCCTCTATTTCTTGCTCATTATCTACATCTTCTTTTCACATTCTGAATGATTTCTTACAGATATGTATACTTTATGCTTCCATTTGTATTCTGCTCTCATTTGCGTAAAATGTCTTCTTTCTCTTTTTTTATCTGCTTTTGATCAGTCCCAGAAAAAAATAACCAAAGCACAATCTGCTTTTCTTGTGCTTTGTCCCTTTGCTTTATTTTTTTGTAAATGTACCCCATCTTCTTCCTTTCGGGGCTCTCCTCTCCATGGTGAACATTTACCTAAAATATTTAACTTTACTGCACAGCACCAGTGAACTTCAATGTGTGGGCTCCCAGTACCAAACAACATTTTCTTCAAAATCTACACAGTCATCCACTGTTCCCCTTGAACATTAATTCATGACAATGTCATGTCCTTTTTCTACTGTCATGTCTTTTTCTACTGTAAAGATGGTTTTGACAAATAGCAGTCATCCACACCCAATTCTTCACTTTTTACTGGACATTAAGCTGTTTATTTATTTGGTCATTGTAGTACTATGTCACGTGAGTCCCATCACCAGAGGTTTAGGACTGATGAAAACATAATTGATCATGAAAGTCTATTATAGCCTCACGGTCGTATTGCACATCAAGGTTTTCTGGTAAAGAAGCACCCTTAGACAATGGTATGGATCCTTTGGGCTACTATACAAGCAGAGCACACAAAGGTAGAGGAATAGAGGAATCTCTCTCTCTCTCTCTCTCTCTCTCTCTCTCTCTCTCTCTCTCTCCCTCTCTCTCTTTAAAGTTTTCAAACCATTTAAAGTTTCCAAACCATATATTAAAGTTTATCTCTAGGTAAAAGAAAAACTACCCTCACGTTGCAAGAGTTAGCAGTCTGCAATGTCATGTCTCCCCTCTTCTCCAGCTTGTGGACTATCCCCACCTTCTATAACCACCATATGCTTCCATTAACCTTCAATCTATTTTCCTCTTCATATCAAAGCTTATTCATAAAGATGTGCGATGTGCTTTAAATTGGAAACTAAACATCAGTTAAGGTGGTTTAGTCATTTAAGTGCTGCCCTGCGGGTATTCACAGTATTCAAGGTCCACAAGGCTTACCTGTCTGCAAGTGATCCATAAACTATTGCCCCTACCAGCACTCCAGACATGTAGACAGACTGTGCCAGTTCCTTCATCCACTCTCTTTCACATACCAAATCCCACTGTGACAGAGAGATTAACATAAGATGTTAGGGTCAGTGGAACAAACTACAATATGCTGAAGTAGACAATAAAATATATATTTTTCACTAAATGTACACGAAATGTTGCAGATATCAATTTTCATGTAATGTGTAAGCTGTCAGTAAGTAGGAGGATTTGTTTTTAGTACCGAGAATCCCAGTTCTGCTGAAATGATTATGAAAACAAGGGGTTGTGCTTACTTAAGAGAACGTTTATGCTGGCCACACATTACAAAGTGATTGTACAATCTTTATTCAATCTCCCTTAGATCTACCAAAATTATGTTGTAAAAGCTGTACCCACACAATCCATTCCATTTGTATCCAGTCATGTAAATTCTTGCACTACATGGTTGTTGACAGATCTAAAGGAAATTGTACAATCGGATTGTAAGGTGTATAGGAAGCCAGTGTTTCTCAACCTTTTTTTTCACTCACGGCTCCCTTTAAAAGTATGCAAAATCTTGGGGCACCCAGTCTAAAATAAAAAAAAACATAAATATAAAAAATGTTGTGTGGTCCCTCCAAAATCCATGTCAGACCCTTATCCAAGATAAAGGACCAGGTATGGTTTTTAAGGGGGAACCCGAAGCAAAAAAAAAATGTTGGGTTCACATTCTGCTTAATTTCAGAGTCCCCCCTTTTACATCAGAATCCCCCTTTACATCAAGAGCCTACCTTCTTATTAGGAGCCCCTCTTCACACTAGAAGCCCAACCCCCTTCTTCTCATTGGAGGCATGATGATGTGAAAATTTCGAGGCACCCCTGAGGAAGTGTTAGGGAACCAAGAAACCATACAGAAACTTAAAGTGCAAGTTTAAAAAATGAAAGGAGTTTATTGAAAACAACAATAAACATGAATGCCAAAAACAATGGAGATAATCCAGGACGTTGCCAGTGCCAAGCCAGAGGTCAGAAGTCAAAGCGGGTGGTACCCGAACCAGGTCAGGAAACACTGAGACCAGTATGAATGGAAACAAAGCCAGACTCAGGAACCAGGAGATCAGTTAGCCAGAGCCATACACAGGGAACAGGAACAACAGCAGCACACTTGGTTGATCAGAACAAAGAACAAACGCAAGGGCGGAGACTGAATGTACAAGCAGACGGTTAAATAGTGAGCTGGAGTTTGCATCATCACTCTGAGACAGCAATTTTTCAGAAATTGTGTCAGTAGTTGCAGAATGATGATGTTTACAGGCTTGGTCATAAAAGGGCGCCAAAGAGGAACAGAAGTGTCAGACATATTGCAAAGCAAGTCATGCACAGAGGACTAGAGGAGGAAGGGTAAGAAACCCTGACAAGAAAGCCAGAAGGCACACCAGGGTGCCGTGGCACTCTGGCTGAGAAAGGCTGTGGTAAGCTTTAGGGTACAGAAACAGTTAATGTGGTGGGGTCCTAGGGAAGTAGATGGCTGTCTACGCTGAGAGATCTGAACTGTAAATCCCCAGAGCTGATCTCTTGGCTCTGAAAGGTAATATATCATCATGTATACTAGTACTGTATATACAAAACTTAAAAACCACGTTGACCTTGGCATCACAAATACTGTTAGGATTCCAGTAGTCCATGAAATTGTAAAGCGGTATCTAAAAAGTTAATAAGATAATGTACTGTATTAAGTAAAGTGTTTTTTACAATAACATTATGAAATATGTATGAATGATTGAAATTAACAGACTATATATTTTAACTTAATCTAGATCGGTGCTCAACTCACTTGATATAGGGAGCCTCAAGCACAGCCACTGGCATCACCACCACCATAATATTCAGTGGGGGGAATTTATCAAAACTGGAGCAGACAGAATCTGGAGCAATTGCCCATGGCAACCAATCAGCTTCTCTGTTCAGTTTGATCAGTTAAGATTTTAAAATAAAAGAGAGAAGCTGATTGGTTATCATGCACAGCTGCTCCAGAATTTGTATGCTCCAGTTTTGATAAATGCCCCTCAGTGTATGTTATGCTACCAAAAATGGTCATAAACTGGACATGCTATAGTAGATGGGTAAAGACATTGGGCATGTTACAGGAGATGGCCAAAGACTACAAATATGCTACAGGCGTGGTTGGAGACTTGGGACATGCTCTAAGACAGCCTAACTTAACCAGAGTGCCGTGGCTTCCTCAGGGATGCCTCAAAAATGTTTTGATTGTGGCACTGTGATGTGATGGGGGGAATGAAGACTGAGGTGAAGGGGGCTCCTGATGTAAAGGTGGAACTCTGATATGAAAGAGGGGTTTCTGATGTGAAAGGGGGGATATTGAAGGGGACACTTCAATGTAAAGGAGAAACCCACTTTTTGTTGTGTTTTTGCGTGGGGTCACCCTTAAAATCTATGACATTTTAGACTGGGGTGCCTTGAGATTTTGCACACTTTTGTGCCATCACTGAAAAAGGTTGAACAGCACTGATCTAGGAGACTGTCAAAGACAGGGGAAATGTTATAAGAAACTGTTGGAGATCACTGCCATTACAGTTAGCCCTCCCAACAGACCCCTTAAAAATGTAATGGTGCCTTAAAAATATATTGCTATTCCTTTCAGCAAGACTTGTCATAGAAAACTGTCATAGAAAACAAGTAAGGAAATCTGAAAGTAATAAACCAACAGCTTATTCTATAAACATAAGTATTTTCAGGAACATCACTTACCTTACTAATGATAGTGGAAGTGTATGTACTTAGGTCATATTTCCAGTCCCCTGGCTTGCAAGGTTCTGTGGCATTGGACAGCGAAGAGATGTAACGGTTGCAGGAATCGTTTGGCTGACTGAATTGTTCCCATGTAAGGTTGGATTGGCAGTGATGTGGTGGAACTGCAGCTGTAAAAATCTGCATGAGGTTATGCGTGGCAACAAATAGAAGAGGTGCAGAGAGAACCGACACCAAAATAGAATGGAAGGGAGAGAACAGTCTTTCTTTCTCCAGTACATCTTTCAGTGCCATTAATGAAGAATACTTATACCTTTGGGAAATTGCTTTTTAGGTATCTTTTATGGAAACGTTTCTGCAGTGACTAAAATTGCTTTTACTGGCTTGAGCTGACTTCTGAAAGAGGATACTGGCCTCAGGAAGGATGGTGATTTTATGATGGAAATTCTAAAGTGAATTATCCTGGTGTCTAATGATGATTACTGCTAACCAGTGATTTAAAATGACGGCTAATGATGGAAATTTGTCTATGATGAATGGTTCCATAAATCAACACTGTCTTTCAGTAATTTAAAACTAGCTTTTAACAGTGGATACTGATGAGATATACTTTTTTGAAAAAAAGAAAACCACACTTGACTAAGCAGGGGGATTGTATAAAGGAGATGTTTTCCAGTGTATATTATTGAATGTTCTCCAGCAAATGACAAAGACAAGCCAATCCCCAAGTCACTGAACAAATCCAGAGTTCCAATGTATGCGACTTCTGCAGATGTTTCTTGTTCCAGTGAATAAGTTTCTTCAGTAAATGAGGTCAATTTGTATGCAAGCTATTCTCCAGTATAAGCAAATGATTTCTTCGAATGTTGGTTAGACTTCCAGTAATTAAGACCCACTTCTTCTTAAGACCCACTACCTACAAGTTTGAATTTATTTTAGGCTTTAGCCTGCCAGTTGATATGATAGGACTAGCACTCCTGTAATTAAAAGTGACCTGATAACAGAAGCTTTCCTCCAGCCAGTGATCGTGACTTGGGAGTGAAATGCTAAGGACAGAGTCCCTTTAGAAACTAAGGATGTCTTCTTCAGGCTGCCGTTTAATAAAAACTTCCTTTAACTCTGTGAGTCATTCAATAAAGGTACAATGACTTGGCATTTGTTAGAAATGTTAAATATTTACATTTTCCTAACTAGAAATACATTAAACTAAAAAGAACAGTGTTAATATTAAACATTTTCAAATTAAGGATGATTGCATCACAAGTTTTTAGACATAAGCATGAGCTAGCTCCACAGCACGTGGGAAAGAATAAGAGGATTCCTGTTTGAACCGAATGAACAATAATAATAATAATTCATGTTTGTTAAATAAAACAAACCTCAGGAAGAATGACCATGCATGGGCAAAATGTTAAAGGAGAACTATGAGGTGAGCGATTTTCACTCACCTCATAGTTCTAGCCGACCTGTGACAATGAGACTGTCACAGGTCGGCTCAGTATATCGGGAGGTGAGCGAACATATACCGGCGTTCGCTCACCTCTCGATCCTGTCACGGCTCTCTGCCGTGACAGTGGAGGGGCTGGATTCCCCCCTCCCCGATCCGCCAGCGCTGACTGGCGGAACGGACGGGGAGGGGGCGGGTACAGCTGGCTCTGCCTCTAGATAGGCAGAGCCAGCTGTCACTCACGCAGCTGGGCGGATCTCAACATGGATGTTGGGATCCGCTTAGGGTTACGGAAGGACGCTAGTTTGTGTCCTCCCGTTACCCTAAGGAGAACTATGGGGAAAAGCCCTGGCCCCATAGTTCTCCTTTAATTCAAAATAATGGAAAATCTACAATTTAAAGTATATCTAAACTAAAGTATATCTAAAATATTTTACTTTGGCTTGGGACATTGTAGGGAATAATTAAAACTAATTTTTTCAGTCCGCACCCCACACTAGAGGTTTTTGTCACATCCTATCCTGGCAAAAGATGTGCCCTGGAGTAAGTGAGCGTTCAACATAGATCCAGGTGAACTCTCCTCCTTTTCTGGTAACAAACCAAAAATGTTTGAATTTTTGTCACTTTCTGTCCCAGTGATCACCAAGACAATTAGCCCCATTCACACTGAGCGTTTTATCGCGCGGTAATCCAATGAATGTCAATGGGACTCTGTTTGTCGCTGTCGCGCGTCGCTACAACAGGACCCTTTTTTGCCGCGGATGTTGCGCGATTGCACTCAGTCCAATGCAACCATTTGCGCGATATCGCGCGCCAAACGCACGATTTGCATGTCCCCTAGTGTGAATGGGGCCTTAGGGTGAATTTGCCCAGCAGAAATAGACAGCAATAAAGCCTGGCAGGAGGAAATGGAGAATACTGTTGCCATGTCACAGTGAACATGGTGCTACGAAAAACCTTTATAAACTGCTTTGACAGCAGAATTATTAGTGTTTTTCAAAGTAATGTAATTCCAGTTGTCAACTTTGAATCCCAATTTAACAAGAATGTTTTTATGGCTAATCTATTGTATTTCTATTGTATTTCACAAAATGTTGGCTGTGAAAGTTACTTTTCCATCACATCACAAAACTTGAAGACTTTCATTCCCATGAGGCCACTTTTCTTATTTTGCTTTCGTGGCCTAACATTCTCTTTCTTGTATACAGTTATAGAGTATATCAGGAATCTGCTATTTACCAAAAGGTCCACTTTAAAAAAAAAAACCTTGACAAACACTACTCCACAGAATACATGTCAGAATAGTAGACATTGATTTGGCCACTTGTTGTGACAACTATGTCTTTATCTCTGCATGTCTGCATGTTTTTAGTAGTGCACACTAGAAATAAGGTCTTTAAGCTGCATTAAAAACCCTACTTCCACTGAAATGTATTTTTTTTTAATGTTTTAAAAAAAATGTTTTTGCATTGGTACATGTGCCCCATGACGGTGTCAAGCTATTCCTCCCTTTTTTAACAAAAGCTTGCAAATTCTTTAAGTTTTCTGTATGCTTATCACTAGACATGTGCGATTCGGTTCGTTCCGAAATTCGTCTCGGACGAATTTTCGGAAATTCGGAGATTCGGATGCATCCGAATTCCGAATTACAGCTAAGATGAATGCAAACAAATCCGAAATTCCCGATTTCCCGAAATTCGTTATTGGACGAATTTCGTTGCAGCAAAATGACATTAGGAAAAAAAAATGACAACATTTTCCCTCTACAACACATCTATGGTTAAAGGTTCAGAGTCAATAGTGTAGTGTTCTAACCCAGGGCCGATAATTATTATTTTTTTCCTTTGCTTTTGAATTGGCATTGTCCTAACATTCCTACCAGACCTAAAGGGTCTGGTATGAATTGGGGGGGAACCTCAGGCTTTTTTTTTTTTTCATCTTCTGCAGACTGTAAAAAAAAAATGTCTTTTTTTCCCCCCTAATGTCATTTTTCTGCAATGAAATGTGAATGAGTAAGGAGTACTTGTACCCCTACTTATTCACTAAAGGGTTAAATCAAATAGTTAGTAAAAAGTCCAGACTTTTGACAAAATCCTTTAATTGAAAAAAAAAAAAACAGTCAACTTTTGAATATTCCTTTAATAAAAAGTTTTTTTTAAAAATGGCTCCTCTGCCCATTTGACATTCTCAGCTGTCAAATGCTACATATTGCATTCATATATATCAACTCCTACTGTGGTAAAAAGTTCAGAGTCAATAGTGTAGTGGTTAGCGAACAGACTTGTCAAGGTCGCAGGTTCTAGCCCAGGGCCGGGAGAGTAATAGACAACATTTTTTTTTCTTCTTTTTTTGCGTTTGAATTGGCATTCTCCTAACATTCCTACCAGACCTAAAGGGTCTGGTATGAATTGGGGGGAACCTCAGGCTTTTTTTTTTTTCATCTTCTGCAGAAAAATGTCATTTTTTTTTACCCGAATGTCATTTTGCTGCAACGAAATTCGTCCAATAACGAATTTCGTCCATAATCCGAATCCGAAAAACGAAACTAAACGAAACAAATTTTTTTTTGTTTCAAAACGAAACTAAACAAATTTTTTGCTGGTGCACATGTCTACTTATCACTAGTTCATGTAAGTGGTATACTATTTGCATAGGGAAAGGCCTCGTAAACTGTAATTTTAAAGGCCTCATATGTTAGCAATGTGAATTTATATTCTCCTGCTGGACAGCTATGAAGTAAAGAGTAGTTCTGAAAAGATTGTGGTATCTTCAACACTACAAAAACATAGAAAATACATTAAAGCTAAGATGTCAAATGAGAAGAAGATTAGAACTACTAAGATTAGCACTGGCTGCACTTTTAGTCAATTTTTTTGAGTTATAAATCAGATCTGAGATTCAAATAAAGAAACAACTCTTAAACTAGTTAAAAAGAGTCTAGAATGGAAATGGAAGGCAAGTGTAGTAAATAAATTACACTGCCCTAAAAGTAATGGCCCTCACATTTAAGACCTAGAAGGCCTATTCTTGTAATATTGTGTAGCACCCTGTAGGGAGGAGTGCTATTAAATGTAGTTATTGTCAGATTGTAATCAGTATGATGCTGATTTGTAGTCTGTGTTCATTTGGTTTCCCCTAACCAATCTGTCCTTGTTTGCATCTATCAACTGCTGGGTGTACCCTGGCCACAGAACAGAGCAACCAATGAGAGATTGCTATGAGCAGGTATGTCTTCCCAGCCAATCACTGTGAGGTTATTGGCCAGTGGTGCATGCTGGTTGTCACGTCTTGCAGTGAACGAGTATGAACCACAACTGCGGAGGAAGGGGTGGCAGTAGTAAGGAGTGTATTTATCAAAGTATGGCACTCAGTACTGAACTCCAGGCGTCACTCTTAATCTTAAGCGAAGAGTTTGGAGTTCATTACATCATCTGCCCGAATAGAAGGGGATCTTTTTATAATGCAGGCAGGGAAGGTATTACCTCATACCCCCTATCTGTAGATAACTTAAAGACACCTCCTAGTAGTGTAGGTGTAATCACTGTGTAACAAAGGCGTCTTTTAGATTCACATCTAATTATCTTAAGAGTCCCTGGGGAACTTTCCTGTACAGGGTTAACTTAAAGACATATGCAAGTAATAAATGCTTCCATGGTATTATCTCAAGTATGAAGGTAAATCAAAGTCACATGTAAGTAATAAATGCATCCCTGGTATAATCTTCAATATGAAGGTAAAATAAAGTCAAAATCAAGTAATAAATGCATCCGTGGTAATATATCCAATATGGAGGTAAATTAAAGTCAAAGGCAGATAGTATAAGGCCGCAAGGTACTTATCCGGATCCTGGGGGTTGCGTCCTGGCACAGCTCCAATGGTTGTTGGGGTCCGGATCAGGGGGTCTCCCAGGAGCTGCAGGCTGGCCGTGTCACTTCATCCATATGGGGATAGTGGTTAGAGTTTAGCTGGGGGTTTGCAGGCGTTAAGACTGCAATAAGGGAACGCCGTGCATTTCCCCCAAGCCGGTTTTTAAATGTTTGAGGAAGTGCGGGTGGGAGGAGCCGCACGCTCCTCTCGGCACTTCTGCGTTCCAGCGTGGAACGCAGCGGCGCCACACATCCGCGTCATCATGCCGTCGCCGAGTGCTCTCCACGCTGGAACGCATCGGCAAGCAGCGCTTACA